ATTCCTTTTGTGTTGGAGACTCCCCACATTGGATTCTTTTCAGCATTGGTTTCTCACCCCCACATTGGATTCCTTTCGTGTTGGAGACTCCCCACATTAGATTCTTTTCAGCATTAGCTTCTCACCCCCACATTGGATTCCTTTTGTGTTGGAGACTCCCCACATTGGATTCTTTTCAGCATTGGCTTCTCACCCCCGCATTGGATTCCTTTTGTGTTGGAGACTCCCCACATTGGATTCTTTTCAGCATTGGCTTCTCACCCCCGCATTGGATTCCTTTTGTGTTGGAGACTCCCCACATTGGATTCTTTTCAGCATTGGCTTCTCACCCCCGCATTGGATTCCTTTTGTGTTGGAGACTCCCCACATTGGATTCTCCTGGTGTTGGAGACTCCCCACATCTGATCCCTATATAATACTTGCACAATTTTCATATCTCCACCACAACTCTTCTTATTCTATATTCATAACTCTTTACATTCCTCCTTAGATTATGGCATCTAGTCGCGGAAAATCTTTTTTACAAGAAGAAGACCAAGTTTTATGCGCCACGTGGCTCGAAATTTCTCAAGATCCAGTCATGGGTTCTAATCAAAAGAAGGACAAGCTGTGGGAACGAATTTCTGCTTTATTTCATGAAAGGATTTCCAATATTTGTAATGCTCAAAGGACTCCAAAGTCTCTTTCATGCCGAATGCAATTAATTATGAAGGCCATCAGTAAATTTCGAGGATGTATTCGACAAGTCGAGCGCTTAAATCCAAGCGGTGCTTCTGAGCTTGACATTGTAAGTATTTTGAATAACATAAATCTTGATTATCATCTACTATCATGTTATTAATAAATGTTTCTTCCTCTCTTGTGGTAGATTAAACGTGCTAGGATAATATTTGCAGAAGATCCAGAAGAGAGAAAGGGGTTTCTATTTGATCATGTTTGGTCAATTTTAAAAGATGCAGAGAAATGGGCAAATATAAGTGTCAGATCGCCTGCAACTTCCAAAACTTCAAAGTCCCGCTCATCTCAGGGATCAGATTCAAGTTCTCCTGTCGTCGACTTAAATGACGATAATGAGGAATATACTCATAATGACGAAGATATGATAACAAGTCGACCGACAGGAAGGAAGAAAGAGAAGATGAGGAGGCGACAAGCAACTGAATCCAACCTCGACTTGGAAACTCTCAATAAAAGCAATCAAGAAATTGTCGATATTTTAAAAAAAAGTCATGGAGAACGAGAAAATGATAGAATAACAATGCACCAGATTATGATGTTAAGGGCCGAAAACGAAAAGAAAAAATTAGATATTCAAAGGGAACGCCAGGAAAATAAGATTATGTTGATTAATCTTGATACTATTACTGATCCTTCGGAACGCGAGTATTTTCGAATTAAAAAACAAGAGATTTTAAATAGAAACACAACCGGAGGTTCTTCATCTGATATTCCTAATCCTGAATATAGTTATGCAGGAAGTCAATACGGAATACCTGACTACAGAAGCGGTGGATATGGAGGAAATGGCCTGCCCGATTTTTAGTTTTTTTCATGTACTTTATTTTCATGTACTTTCTTTTTCTATGTAATGCCGCTGAATGTAATATATAAAATTTCATCATTCGGAGTAACTGTGAAGGTTGTTCCAAATATTATGTTATATTTTCTGCTTTAAAAATTTAAAGGCGCTTATCTATGTCTTATTATCAATTTATTAAAGATAATTACTTTTATTTAAATAATGAGTATATTATATATTATACTTTTAGTATTAATTTATAATATATTTTATATTTTAAATTAATTCATATAATTTTTTAACATTTTTTATTTTTTATATTTTCAAAACTATTTAAAGTATTAATAAAAGAAATCAATTAAAAATGCAAAAAGAGCTTTCATATAGAGGAATGGTTGGAGTTACCCCCCTCTAAAAAAGCATATACCTAAGAATATGCTTTGGGGAGGCTGCATTTTGCAGCCTCCCCATTGGAGTTGCTCTCAGAATCTTCTGCAGATTGGCTATGAACGGAGCCTATTTGAAAGGCTAAGCCTCCTGTATCCCGAAGAACAAAATCTATTTCTGCAGTACGGAATGTGAGTTGTAATCAGTCCAAGGATTGTTAGTTAGTAGAATTCTAATTAGAGTAGAATACTAGTTAGTAGATAGTTTTCTAGTTATTGGATAAGATTAGAGTTGTAATCTTAATCCTATATATATGTAAACAATTGATGAGTTTTGTTAGAACGTGAATAATAGAAAACACAAAAAAGTTTCCTGCTCCATTACTTTTGTTGGCTTTGTAAACAACTGCAGGTTCTGTTCCTTCTCTGTTCGGGTTCAACATCAGAAACAGAGACTAGAATTCCTGCAGCAGAGTCCCTTGTGCTTGGTGTTCGGTTTCTCCAAAAATCAGACAGGAAACTTTTGTTTTCAGGTTTGTATAAAAGCTTACAGGTTGTGAACTTGGGTCGATCCTATTTCAAAGCCAACAAGTGATATCAGAGCGGTGTATGCCTAAGTATCAACCAAGATCTGAAGAGATGACGAGTTCGGAGAAGATGACGA